CGATTGATCCGCGAATTGCAGCACATTATAACACATGACCAATCAGAGTTACTTGAAGGCGGGCTTTTCAGAGGAACAAGGAAATATGCCAGTCGTTTTTATGTTAGCTGAATAGCTGTATATAATCAGTGAAATTTCTGAAAAAATAACATGATTTCCTTCAAGCGAAACATAAGCACACATTGATTTGCATCTTATTAACACAACCAAGCCTTAAAATTACATTCTCGACCACCCCTTTAAAGAAATCACACCTTAAACATGGCTACTTTACAATAGAAAGACTACGAACGAAAGCACTGAGGCTGGCTGGCTAAAATTAAAAGTCTGTGTGCATATAGAACAGTGGTCACCAAACTTGTTCCTGGAGAGCCGGTGTCCTGCAGACTTTAGCTCCAGCCCTAATCAAACACACCTGAACAAGGTAATCAAGGTGTTACTAGGTATACTTGAAACACCCAGGCAGGTGTGTTGAAGCAAGTTGGAGCTAAACCCTGCAGGGACACCGGCCCTCCAGGACCCGGATTGACGACCGCTGATATAGACCATTAGGTTTTTCAAAAAAACCTCAAGAATAGTTTTGTATTAGCTCAGATTAAAAGAGTAGTTAGAACAAACATCAAGCATCATTTTATTGAGTGTGACTTTTTAATGTGATGAAGCTCCAAGAACAAATTTGTGCACCAAAACCTGTAAAAACAGCTTTGTTTGCCAATGTTTTCTCTATCTCCACAGGTCATCAGAGTGTGCATTTACTATGGGCAGTTACTACTTGGCAAATAACCATTTTTACATTTTTTTGGCGCATAAATGTCTTTTTAGAGCTTAATTTTTAAGCACTATTGACAAAACATGGTCTGTTTGAGGATGTTCCATTGCTTTTCTGGATTTCTGCTTTCCATGGAGGGTCAGAGAGCTCTAACACGTCAAATTAATACCTTCATTTGTGTACCGATGATGAACAAAGGTCCCAGGGGTTTGAAATGACATAAGGTCACTTGATATAACATAATTTTCATTTTTGGGTGAACCAGCCTTTTAAAGAATTGGTTCACCCACAAATGAGAATTTACTCCCTATTTACGAACCCTCAAGTGGTTCCAACCCCTTATGTTGTTCAACAAGAAAGAAGACATTTTGAAAAATGCTGGAAACTTGTAACCATCCGCTTGTTAAGTGTGACGTCACACGAAGCGGCTTCCAGGTCCAAGCACTCTCTTCAACTGAATGAGGAGACTCATGAAATGGTAATAATAAACGTTTACAAAGCGATTTAATACTTTCGAAAATCACGATCGCAATATAAATGTCCATGCCTAATATCCGATGGCCAGAAAGTGATTCATTTTTTTATAAATTGTTAAATTTTTGGTATTTGATATGCAGCAAGCCCAGAGATTGTTGTGTACACAATGATTTTATGTAATATTGACTTTAATGTGTGATAGGAATAAAACGTGATCATAAACGAATGATTTCTCCACTCAAATGAATGACGGCTTGGACCGGGAAACAGTATCACATACGTCACAAATACATCACCTCATAACGAGCGGATTGACTTTCATAGTATATATTTTCCCCACTAATGGAAGTGGTTACAGGTTTTCAGCTTTCTTCAAAATATCTTCTTTGGCGTTTAACAGAAAGAGAATCTCATAAACATCTGGAACCACTTGAGTAGTAAGTTAGAATTTTTAAGTGAACTACCCCTTTAAAGCAACGTTCAGCAAGATATTCAATTGTATGCTTTACATTTGGTTGAGTTGCATGGTGCACTTTTGACACTCACTCACTGCCACATGTGTGCATTTCAGGCAGTGTCCAGAGGGATATACGTGTTTAAAAGCAGGTAACAATCCAGATTATGGTTACACAAGCTTTGATTCGTTCGGCTGGGCTTTCCTTTCCTTGTTCAGACTGATGACTCAAGACTTCTGGGAGAATCTTTACCAACAGGTGTGTTTTGAGTTTGTAAAGCAAGCTTGTGTAAAAATTTGGTAATACTTTCTCTGAAGGCCATGCTCATAATGAATTATTACTGTGTTTATAATTATTATGATGTAGAAAGGTTCTATAAATGTATCTATAAACACAAAACAAAATTTTTTATTGTATTACAATGACACTTATATTTGTAACATTTGTAATAGTGTTGATATTTATTATTATAATTGTAATGTAATCAGTGTGATTGCAGCTGCATTTATAATGATGTTATTAATATGTATTATAATTATATTGTAGTGATTGCAGCTATAGCCCCTTTCACACATACAGACCTTTCCGGAAAATTGAAAGGTTGTATGTGTGAACAGGTCCTTTTTGAAAATACCGGTAAATTCGTTCTGGCTATTTTCCGGAAAGAGAAGTTGTAACATTACCGGCAATTTGCCGGAATGCTGCGCTGTGTGAATGCAGAAGGAAGATTACCGTAATAAGCGCGTGCACGTCTAGAACGTGCTGACGTGAGACGTCTGCTTTAGCCAATCATAACAGTCAGACGCATTTACGTCCGCGCGGTTTGTGAGAATAAAAACCTTTGAATATTTTTCCAGACACATTTAGCTGCTAGAAGTTAGTCAGATCACGTTTATATGTTCTTCTTAATGCCAACTGTGTAAATAATCATCGATGAGATGCTTATGATAAGCCGTTGTTTGTTTACCTTTAAGCTTTGCGTGTGCCTGTGAAACAGCCTGTGAGCGCCTGCACACGCACATATTATGAACATCTCGACATGAGAAAGTGATCCTGCGAAAGTTGTTCACAATATTGATCATCCACAGAGTTTGTAATTTAGTCAAATGTTTACAAATACAAGCGCAGCCGTTTAAAGCTCATTTGTGGTGAATGATGTCAGAATGTACCGGTATTTTGGAATGGATGTGTGAATGCTCTTTTCCGGAAAAATTCCGTAACATTCTCGCCTGTGTGAACAGCGCTTTTTTGAATATACCGGTAAAGTCGTTCCGGAAATCTTCCGGATATTTACCGGTATCACTGTGTGAAAGGGGCTTATATTTACAATAGCATTCATTCATTCAGTCATTTTCCATCGGCTTAATTCCTTATTTATCAGAGGTCGCCACACCAGAATAAACCGCCAACTATTCTAACTTATGTTTTACACTGTGAATGACCTTCCAACTGCAACCCAGTACTGGGAAACACCCATTCACACATACATACACTACACCCAATTTAGTTTATTTAATTCACCTATAGCGCATGTCTTTGGGCTGTGGTGGAAAGCACCCGGAGGAAACCCACGCCAACACAGAGAGAACATGCAAACTCCATACAGAAATGCCAAATGACCCCGCTGGCACTTGAACTAGTGACCTTCTTGCTGTGATGCAACAGTGCTTACCACTGAGCCATTGTGTTCCCTTATAATAATATGCTTTACTAAAGAGATATGTTTTTTTATCTAGTTTTAAAATGAGAGAGTGTGTCTGAGCCTCTGACATTATCAAGAGGAGCCATATATGAAAATGCTCGACCTCCTTTAGTGGACTTTGCTATTCTTGGTACTACAAGAAGCTGTAAGTTTAGAGATCTTTTAAAAAACGGGTGGAAAGTATAGTGAGACAATAGCCCTTTTCACACATACAGACCTTTCCAGAAAATTGCTGCCAATGTGTGAGCAGGCCTTTTTTGAAAATACGGGTAAATTAGTTCCGGATATTTTCGAGAAAGACAAGTTGTAACATTACCGGTAATTAGCCAGAATGCTGCTCTGTGTGAACGCAGAAGGAAAAAATTACCAGAAAGAGCGCATTCACGATTAGAATACGCTGACGTGAGACATCTACTCCAGCCGATCAGAACATTCAGACACATTTACATCTGAGCTGTTTATCAAAATAAAAGCCTTTGAATATTTTTCCAGACATATTTAGCTGCTAGATGTTAGTCAGATAATGTTTCTATGTTACTTTTTAATGCCAAAATTAGCGATAAAATGCTCATAATAAACCGCTGTTTGTTTACCTTTAAACTCTGCGTCCTTTAGTTGCTTGATGCGTGTGCACGTGAAGCAGCCAGTGAGGGCCAGCACACACTCATATTATGTACATCTCGACCTGTGAAAGTGTTCCTCTATACGTTTTCATCAAGTTGTACACAATACAGAGTTGCAATGTAGTCAAATGTTTACAAATACAAGCACAGCCTTTAAGAGAGCATTTCTGCTTAATGATGTCAGAATTTACAGATTATTTTGAAATATATGTGTGAATGGTCTTTTCTGTAAAAATTATGGAACGTCCTCGCCTGTATGAACAGCGCTTTTTTTTAATTTACCGGTAAAGTCGTTTTCCAGATATTTATCACTGTGTGAAAGCGACTGTAGACACACACAAACATGATCTTTTTTCTGAAAATTGACTCTAATTTTCAGGAAAAGTCTGTATTTGTGAATGGGGCTAGTGACAATCAACAGTGACAAATGTACTAAACTCAACTGAAGCAGTTTCAGTTCAACTAGAACTCCACCAACATGCTACACCATCTCCTGCCTGCCTGAATTGCTAGATTGTTCCACTATTTAAATATAAGGTGTTTTACTCTGATAATAATAATTCCTTATATTTATATAGCGCTTTCTGGGCACTCAAAGTGCTTCACACGTTGGGAGGGGATCTCCTCATCCACCACCAGTGTGCAGCATTCACCTGGATAATGCGATGGCAGCCATTTTGCGCCAGACCGCACACCACACACCAGCTGATTGGTGGAGAGGAGAAAGAGTGATAAAGCCAATTTAGGATATGGAGAGGGTTAAGAGCCCATGATGGACAGAGGCCAGTGGGCAGATTTGGCCAGGATGCCAGGGTTAAACCACTACTCTTTTTCGAAGGACATCCTGGGGTTTTTAATGACCACAGAGAGTCAGGACCTCGGTTTAACATCTCATCCGAAAGACTCTGTTAACCCTTAAAAGACCTAAAGCTTTCTGTGGACAACTGACTAGCCTGTTTTTTTAATAGTGTTATTTTTTAAAAATCTCATTTTTATGTTAGCAGTCAAAATCAAGAGTCATATATAATTTTATATGACAGGAGAACCTGACATTTCATGCAGGCATGTAAGCACCAAATTTCACTCTGTTGTTGTTCAAAATTCTTTGGTTCCTTAAACAAAAGCCTGTGTTGATTGTTTGAGTAGAGAACAGTTAAAAACAAATCTAGGCATTTGAAGAGAAACAATGCATCAACAACCATGTTTGACACACAAACTACATCAATTCCTTTTGACAAATCCGTGTTGTTAAAATGTGATGACGCAAACACACTCACTACAGAGCCTCTGAAGGTCCAAATGGGTAATGTTGCATTGCTGGAAAGCTGAGAATGGCACGGACTGGATCAGTGGATTAAAAGTTATTAAACATTTTAAAATAGTACTTATTTATTCATGCAGAGGTTGTTGCTGCTTCCACAAAATCTACATTGTAAAAGCACTATAGAAATACAGATTAATTGAATTGAACTGAAAAAATAAACATCAGTTTAAAATGACACAATGAGCTGGGCCCGGTTTTTCAAAAGGTTTAATCCGGATAAAATTGATACAGATTTAGTAATCCTGTTTTTGCGATCCGTGATCACGTTATCCAGCTTACTTTTTGAGCCAGTTTTTTAAAGCAACATCAGATTGGATCAATCTGATCCGGATAGGAACTTTTCAGGATCACTAAATCTGGATAACCAGTGCTCAAACAGGATAGGAAATCACGATGTAGAACTAGATATGTTAAGAGCAACACGTATAATAGCCAGTCTGGGGTCAATATAACTTTTTTTATTTGAAATGAAAACACACACATTAAAAAAAAACACCCTATCCTCTTCCAGCAGTCCGCTCATCTGAGACCTAACACAAAACACTGTACATTGAAATTCCAAATATAGATGTATTGAATATTAAAAAAGACTAATTGTCAAAAACTCAGCAATAATATCAGACTTCCTCATCTGATGTGGAGAGAGCAGCTTGTCTGAGCGTGGCCTTTAGGAGGCGGATCTTAAGTCTGGCCTTGGTTTGCTGCAGTTTGGTCAGAGTCAGTTGTTCCTCTGCCAGATGAAGCTGTGCATGTCTCTTTTTGCAACTGTTGAAAGTGATTTAAAAAATCAGTCATAAAAAATCAGTAAATATTCTAAAAACAAAAATATTTTCCATTGTGATGAATATGTATATCATTTAGTGACAGAATAAAATTTTAGTTTTTGGTCGATTTTGACAACTGTTTGGGGGATTATTTTATTAGGCCAAACTCTTTCTATTTTGCTGTAGGCCTAAACTGAAAGGCTGAATACGTTAAAGCCAACCTTATCACTGTAGCCTGACGGATGAACAAATACAATTAAAACCTTATGAATAAATATGATATCGTGTAAAGATACTGCATGATCCAAATATAGTATTGTTTAATACATTTTTAACGTTTTCATTACATTTTGGGCATTAAATCCATGCTAAATCCACCTTTCTAATGGGATCACTTTAATCCAGATTTTTTAGATCAAAGTGATCCAAACCGATTTGATCCGGATCAAAACAGAGATTGGATTATGTGATGTAATCCGATTATGTAGTCCGTTTTTTCTTTTGAAAAACCCATTTTTAAGATTTGATCCAATCCCTTATCCAAAATCCTAGTGGATTACTTTAGAAAAACCGGACTGCTGTATCTGTTTTTTCGACATTAATTGTGGATTTTTTTTACAGACTCTTCGGGCCGCTGGGAAAACCTATATGATTTTTTTCGTGCTGGTCATTTTCTTGGGATCCTTCTACCTGGTGAACCTCATCCTGGCTGTAGTCGCCATGGCATACGACGAACAGAATCAAGCCACGATCGACGAGGCTTTGAAAAAAGAGGAAGAGTTCAACGCCATGCTTGAGCAGATCACGAGACAGGAGCAGGAAGCTGAGGTCTGTTCAGTATTTCACTTAAAGAGGCTGCATGAGGAATTTAATTCATTCATTATGAGGAAAAAATCATTTATTTTAATTTACTTATTAAAGAGATAGTTCACCAAAAAATGAACGTTTATTCCCTAATCACTCTCCCTCAGGTGGTTCCTTCTGGTTCTCCTTCAGGTTTCTTCTGTTAAACAGAGAAGATATATTGAAAAAAGCTGAAAACCTGTAACCATTGACTTCCTTAGTAGGAAAAACAAATAGTATGGAAGTTAGTGGTTACAGGTTTGCGGCTTACTTCAAAATATCTTCTGTGTTCAGCAGAAGAAAGAAAGTCAAACAGGTTTGATGATGACTGAGTTTAAACAATACAGTGAACAATACAGTGTGTCTGGAAAGTATTCATAGCGCTTCACTTTTTCCACATTTTTTATGTTACAGTCTTATTTAAAAATGGATTAAACTCATTTATTTCCTCAAAATTCTACACAAAATACCCCAGGACGACAATGTGAATACATTTTTTTTTTATAATTGTTGCAAATTTATTAAAAAATAAAAAATCTGGAAAATCACATGTACAGAAGTATTGACAGCCTTTGCTGTGAAGCTCTGCATTAGGCTCAGATACATTCTGTTTCCACTGATCATTCTTAAGATATATCAGCAGCTTTATCGGAGTTCACCTGTGGTCAATTCAGTTGATTGGACATGATTTGAAAAGGCATACACCTGTCTATATAAGGTCCCAGGGTTGACAGTGCATCTCAAAGCACAAACCAAGCATGCAGACAAAGGAATTGTTTGTAGACCTCAGAGACAGTATTGTCTGGAGGCATAAGGCTGGGTAGGGTTACAGAAAATGTCTGCTGCTCTGAAAGGTCCAATGAGCACAGTGGCCTCCATCATCCATAAGTGGAAGATGTTTGAAACCACCATAACATACAATCAGTTTGTCATTATAGGAAATAAAGGCAAACGATCAGGTAACTTTTTACAATAAGGTTCATTAGTTAATGCATTTACTAACATGAACTAATCATGAACAACACATGTACAGCATTTATTAATCATAATTAAACATTTACTAATGCATGATTAACATCCAAGTCCATGCTTGGTAATATTAGTTAATGCACCATGAGTTAACATGAACTAACAATGAACTACTGTATTTTCATTAACTAACGTTTATTAACATGAATAAATACTGTAGTAGATGTATTGTTCATTGTTTGTTCATCTTAGTAAATGCATTAATTAACATTAACTAATGAACCTTATTGTAAAGTTTGACCAACGATTAGTTTATATACAGAATGTACGTAGTTACAATAATATTAATTAAATAATTAATAATTGCGCTCAGCCAAATCACGTTACCTGAGAACAAGCATTAGATTCAAAAGGCCAAACTCAGGGAATATGTTGTTAGACATAGACAACAAGATGATTTAAGTATCACGCTTAACAAATATAGTGAGAACAGATCTAGCGGTAGATCCTTGATGAACAGTCCGACAAGCACAGCTCTCATCTTGGTAGATAGGCTGCAGTGCGCGTGTGTGTGTGTGCGTGCGTGCGTGCGTGCGGTCACGTGATGCACGTTTTCAGTGGTGTGGTGTAGGTGGAGAGCTGTTGTGTGAAACGCTAGTGTGGACACAGATCGATTTCATTCTAAAACGCCGTTTTAAAACTTGAACCTACCAGTGTAAACGGGGCCTGAGTGAAACATACACAGGGCCAACAAGCAGACAAGGTAAACAGGGGATGGAGACAATGGATCACTGGGGCAACTAACAAGGGTAATTAATAGGGACTTGGCACAGGATATAATAAAACAATAAAGGACAACATAGCAGACACTCTAATGCTGGCTTTACACCAAACACAGATCAACACAATTAGTTTTTTTCTGACTGACATGCACAGATGAACTGTTTACCACAAATCTAGCAATGTGAGCTTACAAAATCAATATGCTTAGTTTTGATTGCATGTGTACTTTAATGGAGATTCTTCTTTTTGTTGGTTGAAATTGTGAATTGCAATGAATCTCTCTTTTTCTTTAAACTTCTTTAACAATTTTCCTATATTCTGCAATTTGACTGGTTTACAGGCTGCAGCCGAACAGTCCAAGTGTGAGGGTCTCAGTGGAGAAAAGACGGACAGTTCCTCGGACGCCTCCAAACTCAGCTCCAAAAGTGCCAAAGAGCGACGCAACCGCAAGAAAAAGAGACAACACCAGGGGGAAAGCGAGAAAGAGGAGGATTCCATAAAAGAGGGAAATGACAGAAAGCCCAACTTCACTTTTGCAGTGGATGGAAAGATCCGGCGATCACGGGACAGATCATACACGTCTCCACGTCAGGTCAGAATTTTTATTATTTTTTTAATTTAGATGCTTTTAATATGATAATGTAGCTAACTTCTTGCTTACTTGTGTGTTAATTACAGCTTTTGTGAAGTCTGAATAATAATGGCAAAGCTTTAATTATTGGTTAGGATGGATGGATGGATGGATGGATGGATGGATTTTACTTTATTTTATTTTGCTTTGATTTCTTTTTACTTTATTTAATTTTAATTTTTTACTTTTTTCATTTTATTTTATTTTACTTTGTTTCATTTTGCTTTATTTTATTTTGTTTTATTTTGCTTAAATTTTATTGTAATATTTTATTTAGCTTTTATTTTATTTTACTTTTTTTATTTTATTTTTATTTTATTTCGTTTTACTTTTTTAATTTGCTTTTATTTTATTTTAATTTATTTTACTTTTATTTTATTTTATTTTTACTTAATTTAATTTTATTTTATTTTGCTTTTATTTTACTTTATTTTACTTTTTTATTTTACTTTATTTTATTTTGCTTTTTATTTTGCTTTATTTTATTTAGCTTTTCATTTTATTTTATTTTATTTTTACTTTATTTTATTTTGCTTTTTACTTTAGTTTACTTTTTAATTTAATTTTACTTTAGTTTACTTTTATTTTATTTTTACTTTTTTATTTTTTTTAGCTTTTTGTTTTATTTAGCTTTTTATTTTATTTTACTTTATTTTATTTTGCTTTTTATTTTACTTTATTTTATTTTGCTTTATCTTATTTTGCTTATTTTATTTTTTCTTTATTTGATTTAGCTTTTTATTTTACTTTATTTTACTTTTATTTTTTCATTTTACTTTATTTTATTTAGCTTTATTTTATTTTATTTTGCTTTTCATTTAATATTACTTTATTTTAATTTGCTTTATTTTTTCATTTTGCTTTTATTTTATTTTATATTACTTAATTTTTCTTTCATTATATTTTGCTTTTGATTTTGCTTTTGATTTTGCTTTATTTTATTTAGCTTTTCATTTCATTTTATTTTATTTTTACTTTATTTTATTTTGCTTTTTACTTTAGTTTACTTTTTAATTTAATTTAACTTTTTTTTGGCTTTTTACTTTACTTTAGTTTACTTTTTAATTAAATTTTACTTTATTTTATTTTGCTTTTTATTTTATTTTGCCTTTTATTTCATTTTACTTTAGTTTACTTTTATTTTATTTTTACTTCATTTTTTTAGCTTTTTGTTTTATTTAGCTTTTTATTTTATTTTACTTTATTTTATTTTGCTTTTTATTTTACTTTTTTATTTTGCTTTATCTTATTTTGCTTATTTTATTTTTACTTTATTTGATTTAGCTTTTTATTTTACTTTATTTTACTTTTATATTTTCATTTTACTTTATTTTATTTAGCTTTATTTTATTTTATTTTGCTTTTCATTTAATATTACTTTATTTTAATTTGCTTTATTTTTTCATTTTGCTTTTATATTATTTTATATTACTTAATTTTTCTTTCATTATATTTTGCTTTTGATTTTGTTTTATTTTGCTTTATTTTATTAAGCTTTAATTTATTTTGCTTTTGTTTTATTTTACTTTATTTTATTTGCTTTATTTTGTTGTACTTAATTTATTTTCTTTATTTTATTTTGCTTTTATTTTATTTAGTTTTATTTTAATTTATTTTTAAAAGTGAAGCTGTATATTATCTGTTAGCAAGAGGTTATTTCTTGGTTTGTTTGCTGTTGTGTCTGTAAGGCTTGTTTTTTTTCTTCAGTCCCCCTTGAGTTTTCAGGGTTCCCTCCTCACTCCTCGTCGGGACAGCAAAGCGAGCGTCTTCAGTTTCCGTGGACGAATTCATTCAGATAACAACTACGCCGACGACGAGCAGAGCATGTTTGAGGAGACGGGCAGCCGAAGAGACTCTCTGTTTCTTCCCACTCGACCCGAGCGTCTTTTCAGCAACGTTAGCAAAAGCAGTCTGACTCCGCACTTACTGCTGCCTTCTAACGGGAAAGCACGCTACGTGGATGACAGCAACGGGATGGTGATGGTGACAAGTGGAGCATCTGCACCAAACTCCCCTGTCATAGCCCTGAATACACCAGAAGTTTCCCGAAAAAGAGCCATGTTTGACGACACTTGTGTAAGGACTCGTCTGATCTCGCATGGCATGAGACACTGTGCATGTTCCCTTTTGATGTTTATGATACGTTATGTTTACGTCTATTCAGAATTATCTTCTTTAAACATGAGTTTGTTTTGTTTTTCACCTTTTTTTGCTGGTTTTGAGTGCAAATATGCCAATTCTGGAATGCATTTTGTTGCTAATTAAGCCTGCATAAAAATTATGAATTGTCTAAACAATCTGGAGTTTATGGATGTTCTACAAGTACAATTTAAATTTTTTTAATTATTATTATTTACACTTTTACTTGCATTGAGTCTGTTTTGTGTTTTGTTGTTGTTTTTGATTTTTGATTTTTTTTTTTTTTTGCTGATTTTGTGTGTAAATATGCAAGTTCTGAAATGCATTTTTTTTTTTAACAATTTAAAGATGCAGTAGGTGATCTGCCTAAATGCTAACCAGTAGAGCTGCACAATTAATCGTAAAAATATCGCAATCTCGATTCGACCCCAGGGGTGGGCAAACTCGGTCCTGGAGGGCCGGTGTCCTGCACAGTTTAGCTCCAACCCTAATCAAACACACCTGCTTATAGATTTCTTGTGATCTTAAAGACACTGATTAGCATGTTCAGGTGTGTTTGACTAGTGTTGGAACAAAACTCTGCAGGGACACCGGCCCTCGAGGATCAAGTTTGCCCATCCCTGCCCTAGACGATCTTTATCCAGCATTTCTACGATTCTGTCAATCATATTTTCAAGTTCAAGAGAGAAGCAGAAGTGGCCGCACAAGTCTTCACATTGTTTTACATACTTTGTTCAGCAACATGGACACCTCCAAATGGTGTTGAAAGAGTCACATGCTGTATTTATAAGATATAATTCAGCCCAAAAATGTCATTTCTGTCTTCATGTAATGTATTTGCGACCGGAAAATCACACGTGACGTGAGCTGACCATCAGCTGTTATGTTACCACAGAGAGGGCGGGAGCCGCGTGCCTTTGAATGAACTAATGAAGTTGACTTTAGTGAACAGAGCCTGCATATGCTGTGAGTAACAGGTAATAAAGTTGTATATAACATTCAGTTTGTGGCACAGAGTGATCGTTTGGGAGCTGCGCGGGAAGTGAACCACTCTTAGCATTGAAAATGAAACCGAAAGCCCACACTTGTTGCCAGATGTAGCTGACTGATTCCAGCACAAAAAGTATCCAAAACCCGCTGAAATGGAAAAATACCCACCCAGTCCTCTGTGTTTACGAAGATCAAGTCAGGGACAGATTTTAAGCAGAAAATGACAGATTGTAAGCATATTTCTCAAACACAATAATTCAACATCAGCATTAATGACCAGGATAAATCTAAAGTCTGTTCAAGTCCACCATTCCAACTCTATACAACATTTAGCATTTTAACCAACAGTACAGCTACACAACGCCTATTGCTGTTTTACCACATGTTTGAGAATAAAAATAATTATAGCCCACTCATATTAACATTTATTTTACATCGACAGAATCGTGAGAAAATCGTGATCTTTATTTTAGGCAAAAAAAATCTTGATTCTCATTTTACCAGAATCGTGCGGCTCTACTAACCAGTTAGCATACTACCTTTCAAAAACAATCCCTTTCCTGCCGTCGTCCAAAGCCACACCTCCTGATATCACGGAAGCGCACATTAAAAAACTTTATAGTACTTTATAATAGTACAATTCCCAATGAAAAAAGGTATGAAATCTAGCACGTTTTCAGTCGTTTCAAACAAAACTTGTCATGATGTGCAATATTTCATGCATGCAAGGATCACGGTTTCACTCTCTCACTTGCTTTGTTATTAAGCGGCTACTGTATGCATGGTGGTTGGCCGGCGGCGTGCGGGAATTACACTTATTACTAAGTCAAACTTAACTGCTGTTTCAGACTGAATATTCAGAGTAGCATGGTAAACAATAAAGGGAGCGCATCACAGGCTGTCATTGTTCAAAAATGACCCAATGTGAATACAAAAGCAACTTCAGCTCAATAAAGCAGGCTAGGCGGAATAGCGCTGTTTACTGATGTTTTGTTGTCAAGCTGAATAATTAAAACGACATTATCGTTGCTGTAAAAGGACTTTATGAAACTGAAAATACTCGCATCAGTTTATCACTGGGAGATTTCAGTGGCTGAACAACACTTCTGTGCATATAACCCATTCATAAAACATCACAATCTACATCAGCTTTGGCTGATGACTAAAATAGTTTTACAACAGAACATTACCTGTCTAACAGAGATACTTCAGCCATGGGGTCGTCCTTCCTCCAATGTGCAAAAGTAACTTCAATATTCGTTCAGGATTTAAAAAGTTTTGATTCAGCATTTGGTTTTAGTGCTCTCACTCGTGTCTACGTGACTGCGGCCTAAGTGAACGCGCATCTGCCGGTCTGTGTAAACAGCTGTGCAGATGTACAAATCTACATTTGCTGACAGGCAGTTGGAGCTACTTATCAGAATTATGGGAGATGTCGCCCCAACAAATTATAATTGGATGAACATTTTTTGGTCTTATGCCTTACCCAGAATATAAAAATACATATAAACACATTTAGATCATTTACTTTAATCATTACTAGTGGAATGTGCAGAGACTTTCAACCAGCACAACAAAACATGTTTTTGAAGACAATCACCTACTGCACCTTCAGCCAGCGTAATTAAATTATGCAAAAATACTCATTCTCTAAAAAAGTTTGAAATATGTTCTTGTGCATATCTTTATTTAGATTTTTTTTTTTTGTATTTATTGATTTGTTTTGTATTTTGTATTTACTTGACATTAGTTTGTGGTGTTTTTGGCTAAATTTGAGTGTAATAATGCACATTCTGGAATGCATTTTGTTCATAATTCATAAAATCATTTTGTTGATAATTAAGCCTGAATAATAAAATTATACAAAACTATTCATTATCTAAACAATCATGAAGTACGAAGTACGAAGTACGAAGTATGAAGTATGAAGTATGAGGTGTGTGTGTGTGTGTGTGTGTGTGTGTGTGTGTGTGTGTGTGTGTGTGTGTGTGTGTGTGTGTGTGTGTGTGTGTGTGTGTGTGTGTGTGTGTGTGTGTGTGTGTGTGTGTGTGTAAATATATTTATATATATATATACTGTATATATACACATATATATATATACATATATATATATATATATATATATATATATATATACATATATATATATATATATTTTTTTTTTTTTTTTTTTTTATTGATGCGAGTCTGTTGTTTTTCACATTTTGCAGATTTCTGAATGTAAATATGCAATTTATGAAATTAGTTTTGTAGTTAAAGCCTGCATAATAAAATTATGCAAAATATTGTCATTATGTAAACAATCAAAGTGCATGGATGTTCTCGTGTACATTTTTATTTATTTATTTGTTATTTGCTTTGCTTTTTTTTTTTTTTTTTTTACCTTTTTTCTGATGTTGAGTGTAAATGTGGAAATTCTGCAATGCATTTAGGTTCTTATTAAGCCTGCGTAACAATATTATGCACAATACAAAATATTTAGAATCTACACAATCATGAAGTGGAGGGATGCTCTTTGTGAGTTTTTTTGTAATTAAGCTTGCGTAATAAAATTATGCAAAATGCTCATTATCCAAACAGTCAAACAATCAAAATTTTTTTGAGTTCATTTTTATTTCTAATTATAAAATTTTTACTCTACATCAGTGTGTTGTTGTGTGTTTTGAGTATAAATATGCAAGTTCTGGAATGTATTTTGATACAAATGAAAAAGAAAGTATGCAAAGGACACTCTTGAAAGTGATTACAAATCTCAGGAGATTTTTCTGCTCAAATGTAAAAAATGTTCCTTTTCAATTAATGAATTTCTTTATTTTTTTTTGAGTGTGTCATGCTTTTCACTTTTCTTTCTTTCTGTGAAAATCTGCTGCAACCTGACCTCATTTTGTATAAATAGTTGTATAAATAGTTTTGTATAAATAGTAAAGTGGGCAACACTTTATTTTGATGGTCCATTTGAGTACTAGTAGACTGTCTGCTTAATATCTGTTGATACTGCTGCTAAACAGATATTAAACTGACTATAAGAAACTGAACAAGTACATGTGAACTTACACTAACCCTAACCTAACAGTTTACTTATAATCTAATGAGAAACAGTTGGCATGTAGATGCAATGTAACTTAAATTCAACAAACAGACCATCAAAATAAAATGTGACCAAAGGTTGTCAACCTGCAAAACAAATTTGAAATATTTTGTTTTCTTGGAAAATAAAGCTATAAAATTAGGGCTCAATTTTTTTTAAAAAATTGACAAAATATCTTGCTTTTTTTCTGTATGTTAAAATGAATGAAAATGACAAATTTAGCACAAATTAAGACAAGATGGTTTAAATAGCTAGAAAAATAATGGCAATGTTTGCAATTAAGCTGAAATGCATAGACTATATTTCAGTTAGTCAGCAAAATGATAGTATCATATTCGTTTCTTTAAAGGGCACCTATTTTACTCCTTTAACAAGATGTAAGATAAGCTTTTGGTGTCTCCAGAATGTGTCTGTAAAGTTTCAGCTAAAAATACTCATCAGATGCTTTATTATAGACTTCAGAAGCTGCCCATTTTGGTGTCTGAATACAGTCTAGCTGTTTTTTTAGCCTGCGGCTTTAAATGCAAATGAGCTGCTTATCCCAGCCCACCACTCTCACGTGCATGTCTGCTTTTTATCATGCGTTACAGCAGATGAACAGCCGTCAGTGACGGAAACAGACTTGGATGAAGCTGAAATACAGCTCATTAGTCAAAAATATAAAAAGAATGTTTAATTAAAACTTTAAAAAGTATAAGATATGTTTTAATCCGAGTTTATTTACCGAAAAATGTTCTGTGGACATGTGTATACAAGTTATTAAAGAAACATGACAGCTGTCAATAAATTGGGTGGGCGGGGAAAACCGCAATCCTACGTCACATTGCGGTCAGCCTCAAAATTACTGGGATTTGGGTCCAATTTTAACGTCAGGAAATCTAAAAAAGAGACTTATTGTGTTTCTATCACCCCGATATGTCTGTAGACACACTATACATGCACACAGTTCTGTCCAAACAGCTTACCAAAGATGATTTTCATCATGCCCTTTAAACTAAGCAATAATCAAATTAGTTTCTTTAAAGTAATCAATAGGCAACATCTGTTGTGAAATGAAAGAAAAATAATCTGAATTAATTGCTAAATTGTGCATTTTTATACAATGATTGAAGAATAGTTACAGAATGCTGCTTTTAAAACAGTAGTAGTAAAACAGTATTGTAACATTCAATAGTATGTGTGCTGTTTATTTTTTTCTCTTTACAGGCAGACTCAGATGACGAACGCAGAAGCAGATGTAATTCACAGAACTTTTCGAAGGCTTATCGGCAGTCTATGAGAGAGAGAGCTTTGAGTGTAGCAAGTGGCAGCAACAACCCTGCTGAATGTAAGAAGCCATCACTTTTCTCTTTTCATCTTTATTTATTAATTAAAAGCAATATATACACTGACGGCGAAGCAGTGGCACAGTAGGTAGTGCTGTCGCCTCACAGCAAGAAGGTCGCTGAATCGAGCCTCGGCTCAGTTGGCGTTTCTGTGTGGAGTTTGCATGTTCTCCCTGCATTCGCTTGGGTTTCCTACGGGTGCTCCGGTTTCCCCCCACAGTCCAAACGCATGCGGTACAGGTGAATTGGGTTGGGTAAATTGTCCGTAGTGTATGAGTGTGTGTGTGGATGTTTCCCAGAGATGGGTTGCGGCTGGAAGGGCATCTGCTGCGTAAAAACTTGCTGGATAAGTTGGCGGTTCATTCCACTGTGGCGACCCCAGATTAATAAAGGGACTAAGCCGACAAGAAAATAAATGAATATACACTGACCGGCCACTTTATTAGGTACACCTGTCCACACCCACTTGAACGTGGCATGGTTGTTGGTGCCAGACGGGCTGGTCTAAGTATTTCAGAAACTGCTGATCTACTGGAATTTTCATGCACAACCATCTTTAGGGTTTACAGAGAATGGACTGAAAAAGTGAAAATATCCAGTGATCGGCAGTTCTGTGGGTGCAAATGCCTTGTTGATGTCAGAGGAGAATGGCCAGACTGGTTCCAGCTGATAGAAAGGCAACAGTAACTCAAATAAACACTCATATACAGAAGAGCATCTCTGAACACACAACACGTCGAACTTTAAAATGGATGGGCTACAGCAGCAGAAGACCACACCGGGTGCTACTTCTGTCAGCTAAGAACAGGAAACTGAGGCTACAATTTACACAGGCTCACCAAAACTGGACAATAGAAGATTGGAGAAACGTTGCCTAGTCTGATGACACTTTGGGCTCATTAGTACCAGTTGAGGATTGTGTAATGCCACAGCCTACCTGGGTATTGTTGCTGACCATGTCCATCTCTTTATGACCAGTGTACCCATCTTCTGATGGCTCTAGTACTTCCAGCAGGATTACGCACCATGCCATAAAGCATGAATCATCTCAGAGTGGTTTCTTGAACTTGACAATGTACTCAAATGGCCTCCACAGTCACCAGAGCTCAATTCGATAGATCATCTTTGGGATGTGGTGGAACAGGAGATCGGCATCATGGATATGCAGCCGACAAATCTGCAGCAACTGCATGATGCTTTCATGTCAAAATGGACCAAAATCTATGAGGAATATTTCCAGTATCTTGTTGAATGTATGCCATGAAGGATTAAGGCAGTTCTTAAGGCAAAAGTGGGTCCAACCCGGTACTAGTAAGGTGTACCTAGTAAAAGTGGCGTGTGTGTGTGTGTGTGTATATATATATTGAAGTCAGAATTATTAGCCCCCCTTTGATTTTTTTTTTCTTTAATTTTTTTAAAATGATGTTTAACAGAGCAAGGAAATTTCTGATAATATTTTTCTTCTGGTAAACATCTTATTTGTGTTATTTCGGCTTGAATAAAAGCCGTTTTAATTTTTTTTTAAAAACATTTTAAGGCCAATATTATTAGCCCCTTTAATAACTTGCATAATTACCCTAACCTGCCTAGTTCATCTAATTAACCTAGTTAAGCCTTTAAATGTCACTACGCTGTATAGAAGTGTCTTGAAAAATATCAAATCTATTATTATTTACTGGCATCATGGCAAAGATAATATAAATCAGTTATAATATACTGTGTGTGTGTGTGTGTGTGTGTGTGTGTGTGTGTGTGTGTATATATATATATATATATATATATATATATATATATATATATATATATATATATATATATTAGGGATGTAACAAGATACGGTAATACCCCGGTATGAATGGCACGGTACGGTATTTATTGAATCATTTAAAGGAAAAACAAAACTATTAAAGAGACTCAAAAAAAAGTGCTAGAATTTTCAGGTTACCTCAACACTGAACAGATCAATGACATACAAATTATCTATCTGTAAACTTTCAAACAGGAACTTAAATTATTCAATTTTAATAACAAAAAAATATTAAGCCATGTAAAAAAAACACCATTCGAAAGGACAAGCCATGAGTGAGATAGAGGTCTCTTGGTGGTACAAGTCAATGCCTTCATCAATCTGAGCAGTGTGCTGTGTTCTGCTGTCCCCTTGACTAAAAGAATCCTCATCATGTTAGTCGTATTCACCGACTTGTATTTTAGCACAGTCTGGCAGTGCCTGCATACCCTTTTTTTCTGTCACCTTTTCTTCTTTCTTGTTTCTTTCCAGAGAGAAACTGAAATGCTTCCACACATCTGATTTAAAACCCACTTTAGGTTCGATCATGTCCAGCTCTTTTTCTTTGCCGCTACTAGCAGCACCCTCTATTTCTGCATTACTGGATCTGTAGTGACAACAGACCGCAAAGGATGATGACCATGCCGAGGCTGATAAAAATTGTAGTTTCCGCTACCTCCCATTCGCCTAAGCAAACTTTTCACCAAAAAACTTATGATTTTTTTGAGTCCCACCCACGGTAATATTGAAAGAAATTGCTATTGCGGTATGACGGTATTTACAATATTGTTACATCCCTAATATATATATATATATATATATATATATATATATATATATATATATATATATATATATATATATATATATATATATATATATATATATATGTGTGTTTTTTTTTAATATACACATTATCTTTACACAGTGAATGCACACACATTGTGTACATATAAACATTATGCAACTTTTTTTTATTGCATGTCAGGTTCAGAGATCTTTAAACAGAGGTGTGAGGAGTGGTGGTTCGAGTTTGCGGAGAATTATTTGATCTGGGATTGCAGTCCCACATGGCTGAGGATAAAGGAGGTCGTCCACATGATTGTGATGGACCCGTTTGCGGATCTGTTTATCACCATCTGCATTGTGATAAACACAGTATTCATGGCCATGGAGTGTTACCCTATGGATGGACCATACTCTAGTATGCTTTCGACTGCTAATGTGGTAAGAGCGTTTACTGTATAACAGCATTTTAGGTAAAATTTTATTTTGCTAGATATAATAATTATTAACTAAAGTGTTACTAGTAACTATTAAATAAAAAATATTAACTAAAGTGTTACTAGTAGTTATTAAGTAATAATTATTAACTAAAGTGTTACTAGTCCTTTTTTATTGGCCACAGGTTTTCATTGGCATCTTCACAGCAGAGATGATATTCAAGGTCATTGCGTTGGACCCGTACAGTTATTTTCTGGAAGGCTGGAATATCTTCGACAGCATCATTGTCACTTTGAGTCTGATGGAACTTTGTCTGGCAAATGTTTTGTCTGGAATTGGATTTCTAAGACCATTTCGACTGGTAAGAGCATCCAGCTTTCAAGCATTACAACCAATTATGCAATATACGATGCAAAAACTGCTTTTCTTACTTAGAGTTTTTGTCTCTTTTTAGTCCAAATATCTACAAATTCTTATTTTTTAGGCAAGCGAAAAATATCATTTTAAGAAATAATTTGCCAAAATGACATGAGTTTTTCCTTAAAACAAGCAAAATAATCTGGCAATGGGTTAAACAAAATAATCTTTTGTAAAATGCAAAAAAACAAGATTATTTCGTTTTTTTATTATTATTTTTTAGGTATTTGGACTAGAAACAAGACAAAAAAATAAATTTTTTGTATTGTATTGTTACGTGTGTATTCATATAGTGCATTTATTGTGTTTGGCCATTAGGGGTGTGGGAAAAAATCGATATTGCAATATATTGTTGTGCTTTCTGTCGCAATAAATAAACGATACACTAACGACCAATATCGATATTTTATTACACAAAGTTATAAATTTACCCATTGTCAGTGTCACTGTCACTACCCAATATCTACTATTCTCTTTGTGGGGGGTGCTGTTTGAGTAAATAGGGGTAAAGTGGCGGAGGCAGCAATGAAAACACAAGTTAACTAACAACAACAGAAAAAAGCGCAAAAAAAAAGTGTAGCGAGAAGAATGGTGGAAAATAATGAAAAACAAGTCAAAGACCCACCTGCTAGTTTTTTTCAATTTAACAACATAAAAACGGTGGACCAATTGGAGCGATTTTCAGATCGACCGCAACTTGATGTAGAAGTGCGGTCCCCCCACCAGTTTTGATTGACAGCTGCATATTAACATGTCCCGGTAGTCACATGTATAATCATATCAACAAGATCAGACGTGCACAAAGCATTAAAAGGTCTGTTCAGTTCGCTGGGATCATCAATCATCATTAAATGTGATCAAGAGTGAGTTTCACATGTTTAAAATGTTTTAAAACAATAATTTCTAATGAAAAATATAAAATATCATTTTGAAGTTATATATTATTATTATTGGTAATATAGTTATTATTTTTATTAGTATTATTATTATTAGGAGTAGTAGTAGTAGTAATTAGTAATAATAATTATTATTATTAGTATTAAAAGTAATTATTATTATTATTATTGTTATTATTATTAATATTATTATTATATTATTAATAATATAAATGTTATTATCATTATCATTATTATTATTGGTATTGTTATTATATCATTATTGTTATTGTTATTATTGTTGCTATTATTGCTATTGATATTCTTATAATTAAATTATTATTATTTTTATCATTATTTTTGTTGCTATTATTATTATTATTATTATTATTATTATTACTATTAGTAATAAGTAATAGTAAATATTATTATTGTTGTTGTTGTTATTAGTAATAAAACTCAACTTGAGTATTTCTAATTCATTATTTAACACAACCATCTATTATTGTCTTACAGCTTAGGGTCTTTAAACTAGCGAAGTCGTGGCCAACGCTGAACATGCTTATCAAGATCATCGGGAACTCTTTGGGCGCTCTCAGCAACCTGACGCTGGTTCTGGCCATCATCGTCTTCATCTTTGCTGTGGTGGGCATGCAGCTGTTCGGAAAAAGCTACGGCGAGTGTGTGTGCAAGATCTCATCCGACTGCATGCTTCCTCGCTGGCACATGAACGACTTCTTCCACTCGTTCCTGATCGTTTTCAGGGTCCTCTGCGGAGAGTGGATCGAGACCATGTGGGACTGCATGGAGGTGGCAGGACAGCCTTTGTGCTTAACTGTGTTTATGATGGTCATGGTGATCGGAAATCTGGTGGTAAGTGATGTTTATTTCAATTTATTTACAGTTGTCAAAATTATTCGCCCACCTGTTTTTTTTTGTTTTTTTTTTAAATATTTCCCAAATTATGTTTAACAGAGCAAGACAGTTTTCAAAGTATTTCCTATAATTTTGTTTCTCCTAAGGAAAGTCTAAATGTTTTTTTTAATGACTCTTTAAAGGTGCAGTATGCAAGTTTGACACCCAGTGGTTGAACTAGGTACTGCACTCCTGGTTCAAAACACACACAAGCACAGGTTGCCAGATTGGCAACATCAACACGAGCGTGCCTGACTATTAAGCCTAAAGGCAACGGCACATGATAGAAGGAATATTTTCCATATTATTTCCATCTTATATTTTTTATATTATCTTTTTTTCCTAACCAACACCTGAAACTTATATTTTAGAATTGGCTTCTTGTAGCTGAACAACAGAAAACTGACAATAATCACCTCAGGTACACCTTATGTGCTTTAATCAGTGTTAACTGATTTTAACACTTTTATTGTCTTATAGTATGCATTTATTTTAGCTAATTATCCCAGCGACTACCATATGATTCGTTCAGCGATTCATTTGTTCCCAAACCCCTCCTTAGCATGATGCCAATCTGCGCTGATTGGTCCAAGGACCTAGTCCCTTGCCATTGGTTGACTCCACTCAGCACGAGAGCCCACCATGGCTTATCAACAATTTTGAAGTAGTCAGAGTGCAGTGTGTGTGTGTGAGCCCAATGCAGGAGTGCATTAACCCTTTACCCAGCGCCCCAACGAGGACGCACTGAGGCGCTGTTTTTCCACATGTCAATGTTTATGAATAGATTACACCAAAAAGAACGAGTAATCTTGAAAAAAATTGTACATCTGTTTAAAGCTACAACCGCAAAGCACCTATTGCAGCTAGTCGGTTGTCAATGGAAAGCTTATGAAGAATGTATTTGCTAAATTTGTGCAAGTTTTGCTGAAAACGATTATTAGATATGGCGTACAATTTTTTTTCCTCATGACTTCGTAATGTATAACTTTTTATAGTTGTTCAAATGTAACTTCTCCTTTTACCACACTAAAGCTCAAAGTGTCTTCTTTCCAATGATACATAATTTGTGTTTGTATCTTACTGGAGTCAGCAATATTTTTTTTTTGATTGTCTACAGAACAAACCACTATTATACAATGATTTGCCTAATGACTCGTTTCCACTGACTGTTACAGTACGGTTCGGTTCGGTACGGGTCACCTTTATCAGGCTTGCGTTTCCACTATAAAGGGTACTCTTTTGGTAGGCGTGGTGTAAGACAGAAAGTTTCAGTCGCATCATTCTCGCTCGAGGAAATGTCTACAGTAAAGCTGCACAGGTCGTTCACATATCATATTAAAAGCACTTCTCACAAAACAGACGCTTTACACACATAAATACTTCTGTATGAATGTTTATTACTAACTTTTCTATAAACAGGAGTTGCAGATTCAGATCAATTACAGTGCAAAATAGCCTACTGTAACGTCTGTAATTATATTAAGTAAATAAATAAATGAACATATATGAACACATACAGCCCCTTACAGTCCTCGATATGTTACCAACTACAGAAAAAATACACACAGCAGACATTTCGTTTTTAATTAGGTTAAAAACAACACAAAGTATAGCCTACAGTCAGAAAACCTCTCATCTGTGTCTGCAATCTTCAGACGCAAGTCATGTAGCCTCTGCTAGAGAGTAATTCCATCATTCCCAGTTCATATTAGTCCAAAAGGTGGTGATAATGATTTTAAAAAAGGCAGTTTGTTCACGTTTGCTGAAGAAATAACGTGCTCCTTTTTTCCCGGCTTTTTTCCGCACTCCACTCTCGCGTTTGTCCTTTTCTTTCTGAATATGACATTCTCACATTTCTCAGCTTCTCATGGGATCGGGTTTCCAAAGCACGTCAATAATCAAGTGCGTGTTATTATTATCAGCTCAAGAAGTTTGTTATTTCAGATATAACGTTAGACGCGCGGCGAGCGCAAGTAAGAAAGCGAAACCACTCGCGCGTCAGACTGGCTCGTAAAAAAACTGCGAGGCAAAGGGTAGATTCTGCTCTACTCCATGGCTGTGTGGCTGTTCATCAGGACGATGATATATGAATATATAATTCCGTTGTAATCTCTCGCTGTGTATTTCAAACATGGCGGGTTCTTTGTTTACATTCTGACTTGTAAGTGAATGACGTATCTCCTCTGTAAACCAATTGCGTTCAGCTGCGCATCTAGCTCCGCCTTTTGGTGCCCTTTCAAGTGGTATGGTACGGTTTGGTTCGGTATGCCTTTTGACAGTGGAAACGGCTATAAAGGCGTACCTAACCGAACTGTACCGTACCACTCAGTGAAAGCGGGCCATAATTAAATAAATTAACCTAGTTAAGCCTTTTAATTGCACTTTAAGCTGAATGCTAGTATCTTATAGTGTTCTTGCAATATTCCATAGTTATTCTGAACTTGTTTGATTATTTCCTCATGTACTTTTCCTTCAGGTTCTGAATCTGTTCCTGGCTCTACTGCTTAGCTCCTTCAGTGCCGACAATCTGGCGGTCAGTGGTGAAGAAGACGAAAACAACCTGCAGATCGCTGTCCGTCGAATCAGGAAAGGCTTCACTTTCATCAAAACCTGCCTTCAGAGTTTCTTCAGGAGTGGCTGTTTACGGAAGAAGAAGCAGAAGTCTGCAGATGGCAACATGATCGTGAACTGCAAGGAAAGGAAAGATAGCACAAACCACACTACAATAGAGCTGGTTAAAAGCACTGGAGGAACCGATCTGGATAGCGACACCGAGAATTTTATCAGCAACCCGAGCTTGACTGTTAGTGTCCCGATTGCCGCAGAGGAGTCTGATTTTGAGTGTCTGAACACAGAGGATTTCAGCAGCCTTTCTTCAGACCTAGAGGAGGATAAAGAGGTACGTTTGAGTTTTTTAATAACTTCTAGACCAGGGATGTCAAACTCAATTCCTGGAGGGCCGCAGCCCTGCACAGTTTTGTTCCAACCTTAATTAAACACACCTGATCAAACTAATTAAGTCTTTCAGGCTTGTTTGAAACCTACAGTTAAGTGTGTTGGACCAGGGTTGGAACTAAACTGAGCAGGGCTGCGGCCCTCCGGGAATTGAGTTTGATATACCTGCTCTAGACATTTACATTTAGTCATTGAAAGAAATATGCATGTACTCACTCTTCAAATATCCTGTTGTTTTCTAACTGTTTCTCATCTTATTGTAAGTTGTCCCTGTTCTAGGTGCCTTGATGTTGCGCCTTGACATTTTTAGCACTGGATGAAATTGTTCTGCTTGACTGGGAGTGGTTAGAAAAAGACCAAGTGGAACTGAGCTGAATATTTGCACATAGTCACAGCCCATGTAACCTTGAGTATGAGATATAAAGGCTGGGAATGCCCCAGTCTTCTTCAGAAGAGAGCAATAAACTGTTTGATTCACATCTCAGTTTTTTGTTGCCTTCCTGGAGCTCCAGCTTACTGAGGGAACACACAGACGATCTGCAATTTATCCTAACAGTCGTTTAGCAGACACTTTTGTACAAAGTGACTTACAATTGAGAAGGCAATACAGCCAACAGATGCTACTTATACAAAATAACTCGCAGTGCTTAGAGAATTTAGTGCTAAAATAGGGAGCAGAACGTTTTTTTTTTTTTTTTTAAGAGAGAGAGAGAGAGAGAGAGAGAGAGAGCGAGAGTGTGTTTCTAAAGGTGGTTTGTCAAATCCCCTCACCTGTTTGAAATACACTTCATAAATGCCACAGCCATATCAGCCTGCAAGCCAAGACCGGTTACTCACTGAAGCTAAGCAGGGCTGGGCCTGGTCAGTATCTGCATGGGAAACCACATGGGAAAATTAGGTTGCTGATGGAAGTGGCGTTAGTGTGACCAGCAGGGGCCACTACCTGTGGTTTGTGTGAGTCCTAATGCCCCAGTAAAGTGAAGGGGACACTATACTGTCAGTGGGCGCTGTCTTTCGGATAGGACGTTAAACCAAGGTCCTGATTCATTGTGGTGATTAAAAATCCCTTAGGACTTCTCGTAAAGAGTAGGGGTGCAACCCTGGTGTCCTGGCCAAATTCCCTCCATCGGCCCTTACCAATCATGGCCTCCCAATCATCCTGATCCACTGAATTGGCTCTGTCATTGTTTCTCCACTCTCCAGTAGCTGGTGTGTGGTGAGTGCACTGGGGCCTTTTTCTTGAGGCTGCCCTTACATCATCCATTTGGATGCTGCACACTGGTGGTGGTGTGGAGAGACCCCCCTCCTCATATTTTTGTAAAGCACTTTGGGTGTATGGCCATACACGATAAATGCGATAAATACACATTACATTACATAAATGCACAGTGTTTTGTTTTTGTTATGGAATGATTGTAAAAGCATGTCTAGTGCAAATGTGCTAAAAACTGATCGTGTCTGTTAAAGTGTCAGAGAGAGAGTGTGTTTCTACAAGTGGTTTGTCAAGCCCACTCACCTGTGTGAGGCACACTCAGAATTAATAGTATTTAGGGTTGTCTATTATTTAATATTATTTAATCCTAGTATTTCTGGATGTCTATTCGCGCGTGTACATTGACTTAACATGTAAATCACTCGCGCTTGACGCACGTTCCGCGTCTGGTGTGAACGCAGCATAACAGTGGTTAAGTCTGTTGACAATTGAAAAAAAATGTTGATTAAAGGGGCTTATAATATTGACCTTAAAATGGTTTAAAAAATAATTAAAAACTGCTTTTATTTTAGCTGAAATAAAACATAAGACTTTCTCCAGAAGAAAAAATATTATAGGAAATACTGTGAAAAATTCCTTGCTCTGTTGAACGTCATTTATAAATATTTGATGAATAATTCTGACTTGAAGTGTTTATGCTTGACAGCTGTACTGTCTGCTGTAGTAAACCCTACTGGAACTCTAATCATTGTGAAAATCGCTGTACAATTCAGCAGGGACTGAATTGAATCGACCAGAACACACACCTCAATAACAGTCCAAATGATGCCTTTTCCTCCAAACTCGAACCAATCTTGTTTTAGTGTCTCCCAAAATGAAAGCTTTCCAATTTGCCTGAATTTGTCGCTGTCGTAATCGTGGTCAGGTTTCTCTCTGCTGGGGTTAATTGCAATAAGTGCATTGTGGGTTACGTCAACATGTAGCCTGACCCATTATGGAGGAGAGGTCAGGGAATATCAGTCTTCAGATCGCATTATCTGCCATTTAAGTGCCGAGGATGAACGTTAGTCTCATGATAACATGCTCATTTGCTTTCTGCTAGGAAACGAGGTGGTCTGTGGTTTTGCCTGTCTATGTACTGAACATTTGTTTGCTGTCTCTTTCGCAATACTATTAAAATGGCTGCCACTTTAGTTTTGTGAAAGGTGGTGCACTGTCAGGACAAAAAAAACTACTTTGATTTATGCATGCAGATATTTTACTTAAGAGTCTGTGATTGGATATTTATTGCTGTGATTAATGTTGTTATATGTTTGACAACAAGTCTTTTAACTCTGACTGATGTAGTGGTTAGTTATAGGGATGCACAGATACCATTTTTTGGAACTGATCCGATCCTGATGCCAAAATTCTGCGTTCAACCGTTAAAGATCTGATGCCTATACTCAGCCTTTTTTATAAAACATAGTGCAGTTTCTATAGTTCTGGTGATAATCTCGAATAATATTTCTTCTTTAGTAAAAAATACAGACCTAATAAACTAGGTGTCATGGTTAGAGGAAGGAGAACCCAAATGCAGAATGAAATAAAATTAGTTTTAACTTACTGATTATAATCAGGAAGAAATAAAACCAATAAAAATATCTAAACACTTAAAGCTACTTAATCAGATTTATAGAATAACTTAAACAAACAAACTTGAAAAATGATTAACCAGACGGGGATGATACTGAAGGCCAACTGATAAACACAAACAAACATTAGACAAAAGACAACTCTCTCACAAACAACTGCACAGATAAAGGAGCACGGTCAGGCAACAACATGTAGGGACATGAGGGAAGAGGGCACATTATAAAGGGAGGAAAGAGCATGGAGGACCAGGTGTAAACACTGAGACTAACGAGAACTAGACAAAACTAGGAAACGAGGAAGGAACGGAGGAGCACATTGTGAGCACAAACGAAGGCTGAGCCATGTGTTTAAACACAACACAAACATAGACACAAAGAACGTAGACAACACAGAAAAGACAGACAAGGAAAGGCTATGACACTAGGCTACATTATTTGAGCAATTATTGTGACATTGGTCTGTTGTGGTCCAGTTTATTTTTTAAATAATAAGATTTTTCTTTGAAATCTGTCATAGGCTACCACTATTCACCCTAATCGTTGGTAAAATAACCAGCCTTTTAGCAAAGCCTGATATTTTCCTGCAGGTTTGACGCAGACTAAACTAAACCATTGGAGGCCAGTTTTACTTCATAAACAGTCCCTTGCCTAAATTTGCAGTACTACTGAAAAAAAACAGCTTAAACCAGCCTAGGCTGGAGCCCAGCCAAAACCAGCTATGTTTAGCTTAAACCAGGCTGGTCAAGCTGGTTTTAGCTGGATTTAACTGTTCATTTTCCAGCCTGACCAGCTAAGACCAGGCTGGAAATAGCTGAAAACCAGCCTGGAAATGGCCAAAACCCCTCTAAAACCAGGCTGGTCCACCAGCTAAAACCAGCCAACCAGCCTAGGCTGGTTTAAACTGGATTTTTCAGCAGGGAACAAGGTCGGCTTATGTGCTTCAGCGCATCTGACAAACAGGTCTGTTAAATAAAATATTAATATAAATAAAATGACAGTGAAATATTCAGTTTCAGAGTAGCCTATATTAGGCTAAAGATTTTTTTCTGTTAATGACAAATCCTATTGCGCCCGTCAGTTTCACTTTTATTAATCAACTAATTTGTTCGGCGATGCAGTGGTGCAGTAGGTAGTGCTTTCGCCTCACAGCAAGAAGGTCGCTGGTTCGATCCTCGGCTCGACTCAGTTGGCGTTTCTGTGTGGATATAATTTCATAAAAGTATTATTTGCAAACTCTAATAAGCGAAATCATATTAGCAGCCAATGACTATCCAAGTACAACACTGTTCACTGTCAAATAAACAGTGGTAATATTGTTTTAAAGTCGCACTTGCAGGTTATTTCAGACCGAATATTCAAAGTGCCGTGGTAAACAATATAGCTAGTGTGTCACAAGTTGTCACTGAATGAATGTGTGAATATAAAACCAAGTTTACCTTAATAACTTACACTTTTTACGTTTCATTCAGTGTCCGCTGTTTAATTAACCATGTTTAACTGTTTTTGCTGAAATCATTTCTGCAATCAAAAGCGAGGGATGTGTATGATTCAGCATAGCGTGAACTTACCTGATATGTAGGGGCGTGAACCTACACTGGTCTCGCAGTTCGGTTTGGTTACGATTATCATGCCATCTATTTGGTTCAATTCGATAACTCGTTGCCACACAGTGCATTGACGATGATTTACGTAAATAATTAGATTTTTTCGTCACTTAACAGGATTTTTTTAATTCAAATTTATAAAATTAATATTATTTATATATTATTTGTAATACAATTTTGTCCTTTAATACAAGCAGTAAGATATATGAACTATACCTTTAATTTTACCTGCTCAGAGAAAACACTCTTTTTGAATGCATTCAACAAAACCCCAAAACATGCACAGAAGGCAACATGAGCATTTATAGCAAATAAGCTAATATAAATATTATCCCGCTTGCTTTCTGAGCATTGTTAAGCGAGGTCTTACACCCCTGTGATTGGTCATTGTCTTCACCCGCTTAACAGAAAGGCCTGCAATTGGTTTTAAAAATTAAAGTGCTGTTCATCGATGAGTTTATCGAATGCTTCAACATAGTATTCTACAGCGACA